CACACACACACACACACACACACAAACACACACACACACATATGTACACGCATACACACATACACACATGTAAACACACATACATACACACACATACACTCACACATACTCGTGCACCCACATAAACTTACACACATATGCGAACAAAACAAGTGAGTAACCGCTAAGATTGGTTCTGAACAGTTATACATAGTTATACGTATTATGTATAACTGGTACATATATTCTGTTCAATGGGAACAAGACACAAAGGTAACCATGCAACAGGAACGTAAACTTTTGACAGTTACTGTACCACAGTAAAATATCACTTGCCAATTCATGAAATATTTCAGTAAGGCACGTACGTAAACTCTCTGACGTAAGGCGTCTCACCACTGTGCCAGTAAAGCGTACCGTAAAAGAACATCAGGGTACAAGGCAAGAGGAAGACCAAGGAAGACCTTGATCGAGGGAGTGAAGGACAACCTAAAAACACACAACATCCCACCCAGCCAGGCCATCAAGCTTGCTAGAGACAGAAAGCACTTTCTCCCCTGGACGCCCTTGAGGTACAAGAGGGCGGATAAATTCATTCATTCAGAAGTTCAGTAAGGCACTTTCTTTAGAGTCAAGAAAAGGGAGAAAAAGGAAAAAAATTGTCTAAGAGGTTACAGAAAAGTAACTTACATTCAAGAGAGTGTCTAATCAATCTTAAACGTTAAAAAAATGCAAACAGCCTGAGCTTTGAAAGCGTACATTCTGAACTGTCTGCTTATTGTTGCCTTTAGCTTTCAAGGTTCTGACCGATTTTCCAATGGATCAAATGTCTTCGGGAAGAAATGAAATCTTAACTAAATGAACTTTTTTATTAGAGCACGACAGGTTCTTAAAACCATACTAATCTTCCTACCACATACAAGTGTATGAGTTTATAGTAAGTGTCCACTTATTTCCAATTGCCCACACTGTGTTTTCCGTATTGAACTGTCCGTCCGATGTTGCCAATAGCAATCAAGGTTCTGATCAATTTTTCAATAGATCAATTGTCTTCGTGAAGCAATGAAATCTTATGAAATCTTAACTAAATGCCCGTTTTTTCTTACGGCACAACATATCCTTTAAACTGTACTCACCTCCAATCACACACACGCCTGGGTTGTCATTGTCCAGTTATTTGCAATTGATCACACTCTGTGTTCGCCCCCCCCCCCCAAATAAAATAAACAAACCTTGCCTTCCCACTTCCACTCAAACCAGCCCCCACCCTCCCCATGTAAATCCTCTTCTTTCCCTACCCTGTCTTTAAAGAGGAGCGGAGTCAGCTGAAGAGAAAAAAACATGGTAAATGTTTTACTCATCCATTGGCCAATTTTAGATTATCCAGGACAGGGGTCGGCAACCTCTAACCCTTAGGCCAGTTGAAAACTAAAAATCGTTTCCATCCAGCCTAACAGCCTACTGCCTCTCTACTTATTTATTATTATTTAGTCCAACCAGGTCAACCAAGGTTGGCAGGTGCTCTGGTCCCCCCCCCCCCCCCTTCTTATATTCATTGTTATAAAAACCCAATCCCCCCCCCCTTCTTATTTATTGTAATAAAAGCCCAACCTTCTTCCCCCCTCTTCTCATTTATTATTATAAAGCCCAACCTTTTGCCCATCTACTTTTTGTTAGTTTGTTATTTTAGCATCCAGCCTCCTGCCCCCTCTATTTATTTATTAGCATAAAGCCCAACCTACTGCCCCTCTACTTATTTGTAAGTATAACGTCCAGCCTACTGCCACTCTTTTCATTATGATAACATCCAGACTAATGCCCTCTATCTATGTATTATTATAAAGCCCAGTCTATTAACGCTCTACTTATTTGTAATAACTTCCGGCCTAATCAGTTTGGACGAGGCTATCGTATGCAATTTTCCATTCGTTACAAAAAGACACTCCCCCTGACTGGTTTTGAGGAGAGACCCAATTAAGGGGGGGGGGGGGGCTACACCCCCTCAAATTTGTGGAATTTGAGTTGTAGGCATTTTTAGCTTCCTCAGCCTTTCCTACAACTATTTCATCACATAAGAACAAATAAAAAAAACGGTATTTTTTTCCCGTACCAGGCATGTTTGTCACCGCCATTTCCTCATAAAGTCAGTATTTTATTTTTCTTTATGGGCCGTTTTCTCAATACGCAACTTTTCTCTATACTTTTTAAAATAACTCCACCATTTTTAATTCAATCTTCCTGAAATTCTCACAGAATGAAAAGAAGATGTAATACTACAACTTTGTTTGTTGAATTTTTGATATATGAAATAGATTTTTTTGGGTGATGTCTGGAGTGTGGATTTTCACGGATTTTTTTCAAACTTGAATGCTACCTCAGGAAAAAATTCATTAAACATGTTCTAATTCGTTAAGGAAAAAAACAACAGACAAATTGTTAGATCTAATGTTTGTGAACACGCATGCAGAAAGCAAAAAAACAATCAATTTCCATGAGCGATAAGTGCGGTATTCATTACGTAAGACATGTCAACAAAATCCAATATGGCCGCCGTAACCCCCCACCCCCCCACCCCCACTTAATGTACACATCAGTGAGAGATGCCGACACCCCTATCTGGATCACCCCACATCGTGTACCGTTTTTGCTTTAAAAGTTTGATTACACGTGCTCGCTCTATAACTTCTGCTAACGCCCAAGACAGATTTCTTTTTTAAAATCAAGATCAGTTACATGTACGCATATATTTCCCAGATGCCATTGCCAGTGCATGCACTGCCATTTTCAAATAATTCTAAGTCCTTTCGTTAACACTTCGTCTTTTTTTCCCCATTTTTTGTTTTTTGTTTTTTGTTGTTGTTTTTTTCTGTTTGTTTGTTGTTGTTGTTTTGTTTTGTTTCGTTGTTGTTGTTTTTTGTTTTGTTGTGGGTTGGGGTTTTTTTTTTGGGGGGGGGGGGGGCAGGGTCCTTCTCTGAACTCCAGTATGGCTTAGTTGGACGAAAAGGTCGACGACCCCGAGTCGAGGAGACAGTCAGCGAAATTGAAGACAAAGACAAGAGACATGGTCCGTCTTATAACGTAGTGTTTGTCGGTTCTGCATACACGCAGCCAGAGCCGATATCTCGATCTGCTATAAAGAATGGATTGTGGGCTAGACGGTCAGAGAACGAGATAGTATAAGAACGTATAGATTGTGGGGGTTCTCGTGGTTGAGATTAAGAGGTACGGTATTCGCCTCTAGTCGTTCAATAAGTCCCAGGTTCGACACCTGACAGCTACGGAAAATTTTCTTCTCTAAAAGATGAGAGGTGTTACTAGAGAGTAACATATAAGATGGAGGAGGGATAAGGACGATCGATGTTTGATAGGAAAGGAGGAGGCGAAAACAGACGACAAAACATTAGTAGAGAGCAGGAAAGGGGGTGTCAGGAGACAATTTGGAAAAGAATAATTTCCCACCCTTATATCCGGATTCGAACCCGGGACCTATTGAATGAGAGGCGAACACCTTTATCTCTCTATATATATATACAGAATGTCTTTTCGTGTTTTAGAGCATTTCTTTTCGTGTCATTTCGTGTCTTATCGTGTCTTATCGTGGAAAAGAGTGACTGCAGTAGAGGACACGCCAACCACCCACGGACGTGAACGATATGTCCGAATACGTTAGTTGAAGTCTGTGATGTCAGAGGGGAAGTTGAAGTCTGTGCTGTCTGAATACGTCAGTTGAAGTCTGTGATTTCCGAATACGTCAGTTGAAGTCTGTGATTTCCGACTACAACAGTTGAAGTCTGTGATTTCCGAATACGACAGTTGAAGTCTGTGATGGTCGAATACGTCAGTTGAAGTATGTGATGTCAGAGGGGAAGTTGGTGTCCCAGGCCCGGCCGTGAGGCAGACACTGTTCCTTGGACCACCACTCCATGAGACTTGGGATCTGAGGGGCGGGGGAGGGGG